TAGGCTCTTTCTCCAGGACTTGTGTCCCCCTCCCCCAGAGCCTCCTTTTCAGCACTCGCTCTTGTGATAAAATCGTGGTGGGCATGCCGTCATCCTCTGGCAGCTGGAGGCAGCGCTGCCGAAGGGAAACCTGGCCAGCACGGGTCCCTTGGGTACTTCCTCCCAACTCCTTTGGAATTAGAGTAAGACCGCTCATCTGGCTTTAAATAAACTCTAACCCCCAGAAAACTCTGTCAAGCCTGTTTTGGGCTGAGCGTTTCATGGTGAGAGAGGAGCCTGCCCTCTTCACGTTATAGTCTAAAGTGGGACTCGCGCTCACAGAGCGACTGTACAATCACCGCGCTATCTGCTGAGCGCTATGTGCCCGTCACTGTTCTACTCTGTACATATATTCAGTCAATGACCCTGTGCAGTAGGTCCTAGTCCTGCTACTCTGTCTGTAGATGGAGAAAGAGGCAAGGAGAAGTTAATGAAGTGATTTGTCCCAGGTCACAAAACTTGTGAGCAAGAGAGTTGGGATTTGAATGTAGGTTTCCTGGTTCCAACACCTACCTGCATAACCACCCTACGACCCACTGCTCACTACCTGGAATCGAACTAATCTTTGTGGTTTATGGACTCTGGGAGTTTGACTAGTTTGGGTTTTTGTTTTGTTTTGTTTTTGAGAGATTTCTGCAAGAGGGCACATGTGCTCACCAAAGAGACAGAGACAGAAAGCAAGAAATCACCCCCCAGGAGGAATGGCCACACCATAATCCCTCCTCCTCCATTCTTGGGATTTTGAGCACGCATGTACATGTGCCTGGCGTGAGTGGTAAGGTGCAGGACTCGAACTGCAGTTGACTACATGGGAGTCCAGTGATGTAACTATTATGCCATCTGCTGGTCCCAGTTTTCTGTAAGTTTATTTCTTTTCAGAGAGAAAGAGAGAAGCACTCCCTAACAGGGTCCTCACACTGCAATCCACCCCAGCCTCCAGCTTGGTCAAAGGCACAAGTACCTGGTATGTACAGGGCGTATCCAAGACTCAGACCTGGGGCCCACGCACCCATGCAAGCCTGCTGTGTCACACTGCACCACTGTCCGGCCCTAGTTTGGGCTGTAACCCCTACTCTGCTGCTCTGTCATTAGCTGTCTGTGTGAATGTGGACAATAGACTTAAATTCTTAAAACCTCAGCTTCCTCATCAATAAGATAGGAAGAATAGTAATAGACTCCACCTCACATAATGATGACAAACACTGAATAAATGATGCCTGTAAACACACCACAAGGCTCAGCAAACACTAGGCACTAAATAAAGATAAACAACTACTCTTTTATTTTTATATTTTTTCAACTGTACTCAATCCATTTGTTGTGGGAAGAAACCCAATTTTCTTCTAGTAACTCACTATATGAACGAAGATTGATCTCTAACTAGTACAGCCTCCTACCTCCACTCTGCTTCTTCCTTGCCACACCACAATACACTATTTTCCTTAGACAGCTAGAGTACTCCTTTCCAAAGAAATACTCTCTTTTATGTTCCCACTTAAAGCTTTATAATGGCTGTCCATTTCACGAAAAATGAAATCTACAACACTTGCCATGACTTACAAAGCTGTTCATCATATGAACACTGCCCATCTCTCACCCCCCTCCTTGAATTTAACTACCTGTTCTCATCTTGTAGCATTTGCAAGAGAAGCGCCCAGAACATTCTTCGCCTTGAACTTGGCAAGGCTGGCTTCTGGTCATTCAGAGGTCAACTCAAATACCATTCCTTATGGAGACCTGTTTCCTTACGTTCATGTCCAGCCCCCGTTTTAGTCACTCAGCACCTTGTTCTGCCTTCTGCACGGTGTGCACGACTGTCTGAAACGGTCTTGCTCACTGACTGACCGACTGGTTTCCTCTTCTGTGTCAGTGCACCAGAGTGCAGGCCACGTCAGAGCCTAGTCAGGGCGACGTTTAGTCATGCTACTATAGTATTGTGGGTTCGGTGCCTGGTATCTAAAAGATCTTCAATACATAGATGTTGAACTAATGAGTAAATAAAGACATTTCACTAGCCTAAGACTGACTTGTGAAACAGTATCATTTGCATTCAGTAATATCAGAAGTTCTTTCTGGCTATCCAATGCTAAGAATCTTATAGCAGGCTGAGGTCCTGAGCCAATATAGAAAAATGGAGAGGTCTTGATTGTGTCCGAATGTCCGCAAAACTTCTCTCTTATGACATTTCATGACTCTTGGGGTTCACTTTCTCACCATTTCTATCTCTTGATCACTCTTTTAAAAATAATATTTCATTTTATTCCCCAACTTAAAGTTTTAGTTTTAAAATGGTTGTTTATTTAACAAAAAAAAAAATGAAACCTAAAACACTTGCTGTGACCTACAAGTGACAAGCAGAAAGACACAAGCAACTGGTCCGTTGGTGAGTGTGACCTTTGCCCCCAGCCCAAAGCTGACAGTTGACTGGCAGAGTTCGTAGAAGTATTTTTCTCTTGGGGAATGTCCCATGCTGTACTACCCAGGAACAATGAAAGGTTTCTACGTGAACTTGGGCCTTATTCACCATCTTGACACTAAAACTATCCAGTTGGTACTTGTCCACATCATGTTTTGAATTAATAAACTCAACAAAGAAGTATTCAGCACCTACCATGAGCAGTCAAAAGGTGATCAGGGGCCATCAGGAAGCATGGTAGTGAAGGCACTGGCCGACTAAAGTTTGAGTCCTGGACCTGGTGACTTGAAAATCACGCTGTGTGTGTGTGTGTGTGTGTGTGTGTGTGCACTCAAAATCCCAGAAAAAGAATGGAAAAGGGATTGCGGCATGGTCATCCCCCAGAGGGGGGTAACTTCTCACTTTCCTTCTCACTGTCTCTGTCTCTTTCTTCTCAGACAAGTGTGTGTGCCCTATGGCAAAAACCTGAGACAAAAGATATTAATACCTACTGTTATAGAATATCAATTGACCAAACATCAAAACTATGTCTTACTTGTCCACTCTAGTACTAATACATGGCAAAATATTATCAGGAAAAAAGAACAGATGATTTTTCCCTTACCGTAGGTAAGAGAATGCAAGTTGGAAGAGCAGAACTATACTTATTGATGAGGAAGAAAGGGTAAGAAACATTAACCTACGATGTAAGTAGAGTTCAGAATAGTTTTCCACATTTATTCTGTTTGAAGCCATGGTTCTAATTAGCATGCTCTTCTGAATCTCTTCTTGTTTATGGGGTTCTAATTAGCATGTTTGATTAGAAATCAAGAAACCGTGGGGAGCTGAACCCATCATTTCTACACAGGGAAAACTGGCTTCTTTAAAATCCTGATGTCACCGCATGCTGGTCTCCGATACACACATTAATTTGTGTTTGTCTCTGGGGAGAGCCAGGAGGAGTTTGCAGAAGGAAAAGAGAAGACAGAGAAAGGTGACGCCTCGAGCCAGACACAAAGCCCAGTAATAGGCAGCGCTGGAAGGGCGGGGATTGCATCAGCTCCGGTCGCAGATGAGCCTTGTCTTATTTTCCTTTGCTCCTCTGACCAGGTACTCCATAAATGTCAGCTGGAGGATGAGAAGAAGTAAACACGTCATGATGAAAGAAGAAGGGGGCCATTTGGTTCATACCAGTTGTCTGGATTATAAAATACTGCAATGCCCAGGTGACCTTGGGAAAGCTTGCTCTGGCGTAATAGCGACCATGTATGCAGATATATTAAACTCTGGTGTAAGCTAGAGGGTCTGTTTGTGGGGATTGCAAAGAGGGCGTTCTCTGAGCATGTGTGCTCTCTTTCTGCTCTCTTGAGCTGGCTGGGTTCTCTTTGTCTGGATTTGTTCTAAGCTTACATCTAGGCATTATGGGCGATGTGTGTGCTGCCGTGGAGGGTCTGTTGTGTTTTGCAATCTCTCAAAACATGAGAAAAGCATTTCTCCAGATGGTGAGGTGCTTGAGGTTCAGAGGAATGTGTTTTTGGCCGTCAGCAAGGCTTAGACGTCAGTGTTGGCCAGTCACCCGCACCGAGCGTCATGTGCGGTGGTGCACAGTGACAACGCGCCAGCAGCACCAGGCCCCAGGGTGAGTACTGCTGTTTGGAGAGAAAAACTAAGACCTTCTGTGAAAAAGTAAATAGTGTGTTCTGGAATTGGCCTAAGTTATTCAGCTTCCATACCTACACATATCTTTATTTTTTCCTTTGGCAGAGGTTTTTGCGTTAGGGTGCGTACGCTCACTGGAGAGAGACAAAGACAGTGAGAGGGAAAATGAGAAATCACTGCCCCGCAGGGATGGCCACACAGCAATTCTTTTTCTTCTATTCTCCTCCCAGAATCTCACACAGTACCCGGTATGAGTTTTAAGTCACCGGGTCTGGGGCTCAAACCACAGTCAGCCATTTGGGAATCCAGCAATGTAACTGCTATGCCATCTGCTAGCACCCCTACATATATCTTTTTTTAAAGAATTATTTATTTAATTTTATTTATTCATTCATTTATTTTAATTTGACCAGAGAGAGCAAGAAAGAGGGAAAATGAGAAAGCAAGCCACCAAGTCTGGGAATCGAACTGTGGTCAGCCATGTGGGAGTATCCAGCACCTTAACCACCACGCCACCTGCTGCCTCTCCACATACATCTTAAGGAGAAGATTCTATTAAAATTTTTTGAAATCAGTCCAGATTACATCACTATTCTACCTGTAAGTAATCACGTGACCTTGAGCTCCAATCTTCTGGAGCATTGGTTTCTTTATCTGAAAAACGGGAATAAAAATGGTGTGTGTATCTTATGAACGGGGTTAAGATATGAATTAAAAAGGATAATATATCCAAAGTGGGCAGTGACCAATGGCTGACAATGGCTGCTTCAGCACCGACACCTCCAGCTCGATAGGCAGAAAATATTTTTCAGGATGGGGAAGAGGATACACCAAGCGTAGTGCTGCAGCTTCTGGTGGCTAACTCCAGAGGGCTGACGATGCTTTTTCTTACCTCCGGAGTCAATTCAGGGGGCGGAAATCAGCACTGAGGACAGCTCCACAGCAGCCACCAGGGCAGAAGGTGCAGGCCTTGAGTCGGACTATCACCTGTAGCAGTGTTTTAATAAAACAGAGGGTCGATGCACAATCGACACTGGAGCATTTAAAAATTACACAAAGGAGAAAATCAGGGACTGTAAGCACAACGCGTATTGCCGACAGCTAAATATTGTGCTAGGAACTTTCCGTTCTGTTGGTTTGTGTGTGTGTTTGTGGCCAAAAATTGAAAAACTACTGACCCATTAGATTACTTTATTCTAGAAAAATCCATTTTCAACCTAATTCTGACTTGATGATGGGTGTGTCTCCTCTGATCCAAGCTGCACGTGCCATTTCTCCTGTTCTAGTCACATGGAGAAAGAATCTCCAATGGCCCAGCAAGTTACACCTTTGGGTCTTAAGGTAGCACCCCAAATATCAAAATTACTGGGACCAACAGGAAGTATAAGTAAACTGCTGGACGCCCACATGGCTGACCACAGTTCAAGTCCAGGACCCGGTGGCTTGTAACTTATGCAGGGCATGTGTGTATGTGTGTCCAAAATCCCAAGAGGAGAATGAAGGAGAAGGGACTGTGGCAAGGCCATCCACCCTGGGGGGTGATTTCTCACTTTCTCTCTCTGGCTCTTTGGCAAGTGTATGTGCCCTATCGTAAAAAAAAAAAAAAAAAAAAATCTCTCTTATAAAAAAGAAAAGTATTTTTTGACTAAAAAACACTGAGTCAAAATTTAGATAGACACTTGGAATTTTATCTATCAGATGCTAAATAATCAACAAAAATATTTTCCTCTACAAAATTGATAAACTGGGGAGTTCTGTGTAAAAGCTGGCACTTTTAGGCCTAAACAGTTTTCCTTATGAGCTCAGAAGACTTCTACAGAGTCCCTTTTTGCTTAGAATACCAGTCTGGGTTAACATCCACCAAAGAGGGACCAGCAGTTGGCATAATGGCTATGTCGCTGGATTCTCATATAGTCCACCGCTGTTTGAGTCCCAGATCCAGTGGCTTAAACTGATGCCAGGCACTTGTGCGTGCATACCCAAGATCCCACGAGGAAAATGGAGGAGAAGGGATTGTGGCGTGGCCATCCCCCCTGGGGAGTGATTTCTCGCTTTCTGTCTGTCTCTCTCTGTCTTTCTGGCAAGCATACACGCCCTATAGCAAAAACCTCTCAAAAAAAAAAAAATCTACCAAAGAGATTCTATAAAAGTTGTTTCAACCTCAGGCCACAAATTTAGCTCTTAGAAAATACCTTGCTGGGACCAACAGATGGCATAATGGTTATATCAATGGACTCCCACATAGTTGACCGTGGTTCAAGTCCTGGACCAAGTAGCTTAAAATTCATGCCAGGCACATGTGTATGGATGCTCAAGATTCCAAGAGGAGAATGGAGGAAAAGGGACTATAGTGGGGTCATCCTGCCCCCCCTCCGGGGGGGGATTTCTCATTTTCTGTTTCTCCCTAGAAAAACAAGAAAAGAAAATATTTTGCCAATGATCCCATGAGCCCCTGAAAGGACTGGACTCAGATGAAAATTCCCTTCATTAAATCCTGCATCTTGCATTTATGAACATGACAGAGAGAGAGACCTGTGTTAAGCTCACAGCTGAGCACAGAGGTAAAACGAATTAGAAGAGAACGTGTATGCCAAGTGATCCAAACAGCGACCAACTGCTAGCTGAGAAGCCATATCTTTCATTCCAGGTGCGATGGTCTTTCTCACCAAATACACAAAATCATAGTTAGTACGGTCAAGTAACAGAGACATGAAATTATGACGTCACTGAGAGAAAAGACTTCTTTCTCATAAATGGTTAGAGGGTAAACATTGCCCATATTTTCCAACTTGACTGTTTATGGCAAAACGCATCTTCTTCCCACAATGATCCTATGCATGAGTAAGACATCTAAGCTTTCCTCCCCCAGATTTCAAAGGGTAATATATTTGCCCATCCAGCCTTCACTTCCCTCTTCTCAAAGCACCCTAGCTTCCTTTCGAGTACTTAACTCATCTCTTTGGGGGTGTAATCATCTGGGCCTTGTCTTGTCCTTTGAGGTGTGTCTATGTACAAAAACTTGCAGCAGCCAGACATTTCTTTCTTAGCGTTTTACTCATGAGCAGACGGCCACAGAGACTGACCCTGGTAGGGTTCACGCCTGCCCAGTATCAAGGTCCCAACCTTGCTGATACCTCCTGCATCATTGCCCTTCACAGTAATCTTGGTTCTGCCTCATCCCCAATGGTTCTTGAGCCTCCAGAGAATCTATGAGCTCTCAGTTCCCTCCGTTGAATTCTCCTTTGCTTAAATGGATTTGAACATGTTTCTGTTGCCTGCTGCTAAGGGTAATACTCAAAATATTTAATAACTAACCCATCTGAGCCAGATGCACTGAGCGATCAGAACAGGTGTCAGCCATAAAACTGCTATAACTGTTCTGGCTAAAGATCAGCCCAGTTTTCAGCCAAAGAAGTACGACAAAAACACAGGCCAAGGAGCGGCCGTATAGTATGATGGTTAAGTGCTGTACAGATGAAGCCAGATCCCCTATGATCAACTGGGGTTCAAATCCTGGCTCCAGCAGCAGCACACCATGAACACACGTCCAGAGTCTAAATGGGCCCAGAGTTCTCATGGAATGGAGAATTGAAGATAGAAGGACTGTGGTATAACCAGCCCTCACTGTGGGATTCTGAGCTTTCTTCCTCTTATGTTACCCCCTCTCTGTGCTCAGGCCTATAGTAAAATTAAATAAACAAACTACCATAAACAAACAGCAAAAAAACACAGATCAAAACACCCTGGTATTCATGACTCATAGAAATAATCTCATTTACAAGGAATCACAAGGTAGGGACCTTTGCCAGTCTCAGAATAAGGATTTAATCAATATTGAGTCAATGAATGAATGAATAAACTGTCAGTTTCCCAGAAAATATATAGGAGAATCGTGAACCTGACCTGTCACCTGCATATGTTTTAGAGTTGGGCATATTCTTCTTCCCTCACAGAGGGATTTAGGTCTAATGTATCCACTAATATTATGTAAATAAGTGTAATTAGCACATACATAAACACTTACAAAAGTATAATAGTGATGTAACTTTGTTTTTCTTTTTTTTTTGGAGAGGTTTCTGCTATAGTATGCAAGGGCTTGCCAGAAAGAGGGAGACAGAGACAGAAAGTGAGAAATCACCCTCCAAGAGGATGGCCATGCCACAATCCCTTCTCTGCCATTCTCCTCTCAGGATCCTAGGCATGCACGCACACGTGCCTGGCATGAGTTTAAGCCACCGGGTCCGGGACTCAAACCATAATCGACTACATGAGAGTCCAGCAACATAGCCATTACGCCAACTGCTGGTCCCGTGATATAACTTTTTTTTAGAGAGATTTTTGCTAGGGCACATGCACTCTCTGGAGAGAGAAAGCAAGAAATCACTACTCAGGGGGGATGACAATGCCACAATCTCCTCTTGGGATTTTGGGTATGTAGGCACATGAACCCAGTGTGAATTTTAAGTCTCTGGGTCTGGGACTTGAACTGTGATTGACTACGTGGGAGTCCAAGAACATAGCTATTACACCATTCCATTACTGGTCCCATAATATAACTTTTTATCAGACCTTATTGTTACCTTCTGTTTATGGAAAGTAATATTTTTTGATTAATGGTATGGAGATACTTTATAAAATAAACTATTTAAGTAAAAATGAGGCTTTTTTGAGGGGGTGAGGTTTTTGCTATACATCATATGCACTTATCAGAAAGACAGAGAGAGACAGAGAGACAGAAAGTAGAAATCACCCCCAAGGTGGGATGGCCACACTGCAATCCCTTCTCCTCCATTTTCCTCTCAGGATCCTGGGTATACACGCACACGTGCCCGGTGTGAGTTTAAGCCACCTGGTCTGGAACTCAAACCACGGTCGACTCCACGGGAGTCCAGCAACATGGCCATTACTCCAACTGCTAGTCCTGAGGCTTGATTTTTTAAAATTATATAAGGGTGCAGGCAGTTCAAAGATCATTAGGCCAACAGAAGAACATCTGACACTGAGGGAACACCATCTCACAGAGGGTAGACAAAGAACCTAACCTCAAGATGAAGGCTTGAATCTTGGCTTCTTCCTGGACCCTCTAAACAAGCATCCCCTCCTCCCTCTACCTCTGTCCCTACATGGTCTACATCCATTGAACAAGAAGTGGCAGCACCTGCAATTTCCACGTAATTATTAAGAAGGGTGGCACCTAAGTGCAGCCACAAAGTCATGTACAAAATCCAACTATGACAGCAAACTGAGGTCAGGAGTCCCTCACACACAGTCCCCTGGGCAGCTGCTGGTGCATACACGCGTTAGACAGTTTTGCCGTAGGCTGGGTCAGTTCAGTGACCTAGACGAGAAAGACTGTCAGTGTCCCAGTTCCACGGTTCCGAGCTGTGTGTCTTATCCTTCCGTTCTCACTGTTCATATAAAAGTGGACTCCAGGCCCAGCCATGGTGGCACTTGCTGCTAAGATGCTGTGCCCCATGGACTAGAATCATATGAGAGGCCTGGGTTAGATTCCCAGTACAACGTAAAGGCTGAATATGGTGGTCCGTGCTTATAATCCCAGAAACTCAGGTGACTGGGCAGGAGAATGGCAAGCTTGAGGCTGGCCTGGGCAACATAGTGAGACACTGTTTTAAAGAGAGCCAGGCATGGTGGTGCATGCCGATAGTCCCAGTTGGCAAGCTGAGGCAGTTCTTGACATAGTAAAATTCTATCTAAAAAGCTTTTTTAAAAAAATAGAATACTCAGGACCAGCAGATGACATAATAGTTATGTCACTGGACTCCCATGTAGTCAGCTGCAGTTCAAGTCCCTGATCCAGCAGCTTAAAATCATGCTGGGCACATGTACATGCATGCCCCAAATCCCAAGAGAAGAATGGTGGAGAAGGGATTGCAGCATGGCCATCTCCCTGGGGATGATTTCTCCCTTTCTGTCTCTCTGTCTCTCTGGAGAGCACATGCATCATATAGTAAATATCGCTTTAAAAA